ATAACCATTTCTGAAATCCCATTGTTTACTTTTAGGCTAGACCCCCACCAAAGCAAGAATCAGTGGAGTTCTAGCAAAATGACTGATACATGACATCACTCAAACTTTGAAGTGTTTATGTCCTTTATGTGTTTCTTTTAAAAACATAGTAAAATATGCATAACATAAAATATTATTTAAATAATTTCCAAGGATACTATTTAGTAGCATTAACATATTAAAATGTTATATAACCATTATATATATATATATATATATATATCCCTAGCTTCTAATATGATTCTGTAGATGTATACTAGATTATGTTATCATTTCCAGAAAACAACTTAAATATTTGAAGTAATAAGATATAATACTTAAAACTTACTCTCAAAATGAACATATGCATGCATATACATATACATACATATGTATGAGGAGGGGGGAGGCCAGGAATGTGCTTTAATGGTAGAGCACTTTCCTAATGTCTATAAAGAAAGGATAATAAGGCAAATGTAAAATGTTAACAATTGAGACCTTGGGTGAAGGGTAAGAATCCGTTATTTATTTTGTATAATTTTAAGAAAAAAATTATGTGTATGAGTGTTCACTTTGTTTCATGTGGGACTTGCACTTGCAGAGATCAGAAGAGGGAGTCAGATCCTCTGGAAGTGGAGTTTGGATTGTTGTAAGCCATCATATGCTTGCTAGGAACTGACCTCTAATCCTCTGCAAGAATAGCAAATGCTCCTAACTGAACTCTAATCCTCTGCAAGAACAACATATGCTCCTAACCATCTCTGTGCAACCCCCATTTTGTATCATTTTCATAACTTTACTATCAACTTGAAATAACTTGGAAATAGTAAAAGCATCACTTTTTCAAAAGACAGTTTCAGCATGTGTGAAAATATTCAAGTTAAGCAAAATATGTAGATTACCAAACAAATGTGCAGTATAAATTTTGTTGACTGCATATATTTAGTTGGATATATTGCTCATGCATGGTTAGTTCAAAAATATAGTTCACATATATTTTGGGAGCATAAAAAAAGTAACAATTGTCATCTGTTGGTAAGAAATAGCCATGTCCAATTTAGAACAAAAGAAAGTTGGCAAGAATTTGTGTTACCAGATATCAAGACCTACTTTAACGGTACAGGGATTGGGGACTGGAGAGATGATTCAGTGATTAAGAGCACTGGCTTTCTCTGGGACTCAGGTTCAATTCCCAGCACCAACAAGGTAGCTAACAATCACCTGTAACTCAAGTCCCAGAGGATCAGATGCCTTCTTCTGGCCTCCTCCAGCACGGCATGCACGTGGTACACAGACATACACATTATGTGCATCCATACATAAAATTTAAAAAAAAGGTTCAGAAATTTTGTCTGGAGAGATGGCCCAGCAGTTAAGAGCACTGGCTGGTCTTCCAGAAGGCCCAGGTTTAATTCCCAGCATCCATATGGATGCTTACAACAACCATGCATAACTCCAATCCCAAAAGACCTATGTCTTCTTCTCTCCAAGGGCACCAGGCATGCATGTGGTGCAAAGACATGCATGCAGACAAAGCACCAATATACACTAAGATCTTTCTAAGTCTACAAATGTTATATAAAATAACTAAAAGTCACTGTAATTACAGGGGAATCAGGAAATTCGCAGATGCCACAAATAAAAGAGGAACTGAAAAGATGATAGAAGTTGAGAGCTGACGAGAATCTTCCCATAAAGATCTGTGCTTCTGGACATCTTGCTTGGGAGTTTTTGGTTTGGGGGTCTGGGGCCTTTCAGAGGTTGAAACTGATCATCTCAGGATGAAGTGGAAACATTTAAAATATTTTCTAAGATTTAGTAACCTGGAAGGCCAGTTCCTAAAAAATAATTATGTACTACAAAAAAAAAAAAAAAAAAAAAAAAAAAAACAAGGAAAAGCCTGCTTGGCTTTGAGGAGAGGAATTTGGAAAGGACACCTGTGTGAGAAGAGCACTCTCCTCAGAATGTGAAAGCTCAAGCTCACGCTCTGCATAAGTCTGAGGTCAAACTTGCTAAGACTGTCCAGGGATTTCCATAATTTGTCCCATGGATCCTGACAAACCAAGTACTGATCCGCTGGGACAGCACTAGCAACACCCACACCATTGAAGGGAGTGTCACACATAAAAACATCCATAGAAATAATAGACTGTAAAAAAAAAAAAAGAGCAGAAAAATGTATCTCCTAAAAAAAAAAAAAAAAAAAGTCATCAGGAAAACAATAGCCAACACTAAAAAATGTGACATAAGAAGTCAGAGTGACAACAAATGTACAAAGGCATTGATGAAGACACCATAAGCCATTGCTCTTAACCGCGAAGTCATTTCTCCAGTTCCAACTCCAATATTGTGTTTACAGCAGGAACTATTTTAGATGAGTTGCATTTACTTTCATGTGAGACTCAGAAACCCTTATACTTTCATAAGCTTATTAAACATTATTTCAAAGATAAAAATGTTGAGCTGGAGAGATGGCTTAATGGGTAAAAGCACTTGCTTTTTGTAAAAGCTTGACTACCTGAATTCTGGATTTCCAGATCGGACTAGCTGGTCTAGGAGCTTCTGTAGAGTGTTCTGTTTTAGCTTCCCATCTCCGGTGGGGGTGTTCTGGAATTACACTACTGCCTCTGGCTTTTCTGTGGGTTCTGGAAATCCAAAATTGTGGGAATGGACAGTTTTTATCAATATTATTTTGGTGGGAGGGGGAGTGCATGTATGTTCATGGGAATGGGTGTAGGTGTGTGTGTGCCATGATAAAAATATAGAGGTCAGGTGACAACCTCCAGGTGTTGGTTCTCACCTTTCCATCTTGTTTGAGCAGGTTCTCTTAAAATTTGTTGATCAATAGAATTATTGACTAGGTCAAATAATCTATTGAACATTTAATGAATGATCATCCAGCATTTTCTTAGAGCTGACAAGGACATCAATGTTTCCAAATATGACTTGGCTAAAGGACCTAGTCTTGGACTCTTTCCTTTTTGCCAAATATCTTTGTCTTCTGTCTAGACTTCTTTATCCACCCTCTACCCAACCAGGACCTGACCTTTGATTTGGAGCTCTCACTTACTTGCTAATTGGGTTTACACAGAACCTAGCTTATTTCTTCATTAATATGACCATTTGCAGCAACATCACATTGCAACTGAGAGCTCCTCTCTTTTTTTTCTAAGATTTATTTATTTTATGTATATGAATGTTTTATCTGCATTTACAGATGCCAGAAGAAGGAATCAGTTCACCTTATAGATGGTTGTGAGCCACCATGTGGTCGCCGGGAATTGAACTCATGACCTTTAAGGAAGAGCAGACAGCACTCTTAACCGCTGAGCCATCTCTCCAGCCCAAGAGCTCCTCTCTTGAGAACACAAGGCTACAACAGTAAGCCAATCATATTTGATAAATAGCTTTATCCTGGATTATTCATTCAATACATATTTATTGCTACGTATGTTTCAGGTCTGGATCAACTATGGAAGGCACATAAGACAGCCAGGGTCTATTTTTTTCAAGAATATTATGATGACAACAAACAAAAGAATTTCATGAGCATTCAGCTCCATTTTGAGAACACAAAAAGAGATAGGATTCCTGACATCTCTGGCAAACAGTTAAGGCACAACACTAAACAAAATTTAATGAAATAAAGTATAGAGTTTAAGTGTCAGTATTTTAGCAGACTGAAAACTGTCTAGGAGGCTAGTCAGTTAAGAATTCCTGAAAGAGGGGCTCTAAGAATGGATAGGATAGGGAAGAGGAACTTTAGGAACTATGAAACCATCCCCCTGCACACAGCTTTTATACAAGCAGGAGGGGGTAATTATTTATGTGTAGTTCGCTTTTCTCTGTTAAGCTATCCTACTCAGTTACTGCCCTCATTCTAGCCTATAGAGGAGTGTACAATAATAGAGCTTTAAAACTTGCGTACACAGAATCGCTGTTTAGCTACTGTGAACTTTTTATTTTTAAATTACATTTATTTATTCTGTGTGTGTGTGTGTGTGTGCGTGCATACATGCACATATGCCGGTGTGAACGTGTGTTCAGAGGACAGTTTTGTGGAGTCAGTTCTAGCCTTCCATCATGTGGTTCCCGGGCGGGGAGTGGGAGGGGGTTGATACTGAGGTCCTCAGGTTTGGAGGCAAAGTGCCGTTACCTGCTGAGCCATCTCATCGTTATCTCAACTTTACCGTTTTAAAAGCAGGTTTTCTTTTCTTTCTTTTTTTTTTTTTTGTTTTTGGTTAGTTTTTCTTAGTTTTGGAATTAATTTCCTGAGTCCAAACAATATTCTCTTGAGTTTAACTAATTCAACTTCTGGGCAAACAATTCAATTTGATCTTGCAGAAGTCTCTCAATCATCTAAAAGAGGCAGTTTCTCTATGAAAGTTCGGTGGAAATTCCCTTCCCCAAACTGATTCTATGAATGACTGTGCTATAAACCCCACTGTTGCCATGTTCACAGTGCGCCAGAAACCCTACTTAATCACTCCTCTTAAGGACTCGACTTTTGGAGCCCTGGTGCGCCGCTACAAGGAAGGTACGTTCTCTGGGAGAAGCGAGCAACAGGCACAGGAGACTGACTACGCGGGAGGACAGCATCTTCATCGGAAGGGCAGCGGGGCGCCTGACCACGTACGGACCAGTCCCCCTAGGGGAAGGTTCGCCATCCGGCCTAGGGCCCATCCAATCAACAGGCTTCAAAAATATCCCAGGAGAGCCCTGGAATCACCGGGCTGTCGCCTGCTTTCGAAAGCCCCACACCGGGCATCCCTACCTCAGCTGGTACAATTTTGTGTGACAGGAAATTACAACCTACGCGCGCCTTGGAGCTCAAATTGCTCGAAGTCCCTCCTCCAAGGAACCGGAAGCATTGCCACCAGCTACTGGACGGCCATTTATAAGGGGCGGGACCTCATAGAAAACTATAGCCCCCAGAATGCAGCGCGGAGCTTCCGGTTTCCGGGAAAAGGGCCAGAGTGAGTGTTTACGCCGGCGGCTTGCTGCGGCCGGGTTCCTTCCGCGGGACGGGTGAGGGCGCATGGGCCCCTTGCGCGCGCGGGCCTCTCGTGGGTCTGGAGTTGCTAACTGGTCCCACGGGAGAAGTGGGGTTGTCAACAGTGTCCCTACTCATCACTAGGTATCTGTGACCTTGGGCCAAGTGACTTCAGCTTTCTGACTCTTGATTCCTGATCTGTGTAATATGGATGATGATGCCTGCCCCAGGGGATAGTTGTGAGGATCGAGATCGGTATACAAACAGATCGCTTCCTTGCTTGCTTTAAACCTGAAGGTAGACAGTACCTTGAAGTCTGGTGGGTCGCGTCACAGCTTTTTCTTAGCCTTGTATCTACTGCCAGAGGCTTCTTTGAGAGAATTAGTGTTTATAACAACGACTTGTCTTGCGGTGCAAGGCTTTTGTACCCTTTGGGTGTTTAGATTTATTTTGTTGGCATTTATATCTCGGGCTTGGGGACAGTGAATTAGAAAAGCTCTAGTCTTGACTTTTAAGGCTTTCAAGAATTGAGGGACACAGGTATAGAGGAAGGCGTGAGAAATAAGTTTTACAAGGAAAAAGCGGCAAAGAGAATAGTTTTTTTAGTCTGGCATCTGGTAATGAAGCTGGCTGACTAGCCACTTGTCCTCAAATCTATTGATTTGTGTTGCTCCTTTGCCTTGAGGGAACAGGGAATGTGTGACCAAGAGAAGAAAAAGCGGGCATGGAAGCAGTGTACTTGTGTGGGTCTTGGTAGGAGTTTGCTAAGAGGCCAAAAAGGGAAGAGAACTTAGATGCAAAGACAGGAGGTGAGCAGAGGTATATATGGGAGACAGCTTTGTTATTAAGTATACTTAGCTGTTGTTATAAGGGGCATGGCTGGTGTCTGTTGATGAAAGCTGGTAATCAGGCTGTGGAGTTAACACCTGGTCATACAGGTGCTTTGGGGTCAATAAAGGCATTCTCTAAGCAGATAAGTCTGTCACGTCTATGTTTTAACAATAAAACATTGGGTTGTGCTACAGATCTTTGATATGGGGAGGCAAGAAAGGCAACAGCTTGTTAAAGCTGTTGAAATAGCTAAATTAAAAACTTAAGAAAATGAGACATCAGTGTGTACAAGGGAGAGGGTTGGGTTATCTTGCTTGAACCTCACAACATTCCTGTCCAACTGATTGGTCTTTTATGTCCACTCTAAAGGTGAAGAAACTGGGACATAGAGAAATTTCTTGTTGTCCACTATAGAAAGAATAAAGGGAAGACACTAGGTTCTAGTTCTGGCCTCCTAATGCTACACCTTGTGCTTGTAGCAGTATTGCACTGAAATGATCTTTCTTCTTTTCTGTTTCAGGAAGGGGAGATGAGTAGGATGGTGGTTTGTCTAACCATTAATGTGTTAATGTTTTACAGGGAGAAAGAGAGAGCGCGAAAGAGAGAGGATGTCTCTCTCAGACTGGCATCTGGCAGTGAAGCTGGCTGACCAGCCACTCGCCCCCAAATCTATCCTTCAGTTGCCAGAAACAGAGCTGGGAGAATATTCACTAGGGGGCTATAGCATTTCATTTCTAAAGCAGCTTATTGCTGGCAAGCTCCAGGAATCTGTTCCCGACCCAGAGCTGATTGGTAAGTCTTTGTGGGCTGGAGCTGGGTTGTTCTCTGGCCTCCGGGAGAGGGAAACAAAACAACGATAAAACAGTTGTTTGCCACTTTAGTCACAAGTTACATGGAACCACTTCCTTACAATGACTCTTTGCCAAGACATTGTTGAGGTCTTTCACTGAGAGAATAAAATTAGCAAGGAGTTGCTAATAAGACAGGACTCCTCAATCTATCATGTAAGACTTAGTGGATAATTAGAAGGATTTTTGTTTGTCTTGACGGCTGATTAAAAGGAAGGCAGCAAAATAGGAAATGAGGTTGGCAAAGCATTCTAGTGGAGGAAAGAGGGATTTTAGTATAGTCAAATGAGATTATAAATGTAATTTATGATAACAGAGGGTTCCACCTGGTGAAGATATTTCCTGTCACAGGTGGATTAGGTTCATCCTTTTTGGTTGTTACATTTTCCCCCATTATTTAGATTAAGCACTCTTTACAGTATTGAGCTCTAGAGTTCTTCTGTGGCTATATTTCTTAAATAAGCATTTGTACTGATGAAGTTGTTAAAAATGTTGGGCTTTTTTGTTTGTTGGTTTGTTTTTGAGACAGGTCTCACTTTGTAGTTCCGGCTGGCCTGGAACATACTATATAGACCATGCTGGCCCAAATTTACCATTTACTTCTGCTTCCTGAGTGCTGGGATAAAAGGCATGTGCACAACATTTGGCCCAAGTGTATTTACTAGTCCCCCAACACACACAGGTGCTGACTATTGAATCCAGGGCCTTGTATATGCTAGGGAATCAGTCTGCCACCGAGCTGTACCCAAAGCCCATTCATATGGCAATTTATCTACTTATTTATTTATTTATTTTTAGAAGCAAGATCTTAATAAATTGCCGAGATTTGCTTCAGCCTGTCAAGTATCTGGGATTACAAATATGTGACACTGCACCTGGGAGAGTATCTTCCCATGTATGTGGTGCATACATGTGAGTGCAGGAGTATGAACAGGTTGGAACAGGACATCAGGTGTTCTCTCTCTCTTTACTTACTGTCTTGAGACAAAGTCTTACACTGAACCTGAAGCTTCCAGTTTAGGTTAGGCTGGGTGGCTAGCAAGTTCTTGGGGTCAGCTTGCCTCTGCCTTTATTAGCTAATTGTGTTGCAGGCATGTGCAGCCGTGCCTGGCATTTTATGTGGGTGCTGAGGATTTGAAATCAGGTCCTCATGCTTGCAGAGCATGTGCTCTTACCCATTGAGCTGTTTCCCTAGTCTCTGAGAGCTGTCTCATTAAAATAAGATTCTCAGGGGACAGAAACCAAATTGCTTGGAGAAACAAAATATAAATGGGCAGGATTTTTTGTTTTGTTTTTGTTTTTTAGATTTGATCTACTGTGGACGGAAGTTAAAAGATGACCAGACCCTTGACTTCTATGGTATTCAGCCTGGGTCCACAGTCCATGTTCTCCGAAAATCTTGGCCTGAGCCTGATCAGAAACCTGGTAAGTGAGGGCTTGTCTTCAGTTAGATGGGTAGAGCTTCCTAATGTGTTCAAAGGAAGAGCCTACATGTTCTTGAGATATGGTCCTGGGCTGAGTTACTGAGATGGTGATAGGAGCTTTCTGTATGCACCCTTACTGGACTAACCTTACCAAGAGAGGTAAGCTGTGCCATTGTTACTGCCAGCACCACTAATAATAGATGTTTTCTTACCTAATTTCATTAACCATTGTTTTCTAACCATGTGGGGAATATGGATCTGTTTAAAATCTTTAGATCAACGGTTGATTTCTCAGTAAACTTTACATCCTTTTATTGTTGTACTCATTAGACAAAAGCCAGAAACTTACCTTACTTTTGTAATGGTTCTTGTGTGATCAGATCTTTCCATGAACTTCCTCAGGTGGTGTTCAGTAAGCTAACTACTCCTGCTGAGCTGGTGCCTTATTTCCAGGAAATACTCCCAACAGCATTCAAGTAGCTCTTGAAGAAACTATACAAAACCTAAAGCCTTTTTAGCCCCCCCCCCCCCCCCCGTTTTTTTAAATACCCTTGGCTGTCCTGGACTCACTTTGTAGACCAGGCTGGCCTCGAACTCGCAGAGATCTGCCTGCCTCTGCCTCCCTGAGTGCTTGGATTATAGGCATGCAATATTGCGCCTGGCTACCTTTTCAGTTTATTAATAGAAAGGACTGCTTTAAATTTACAATTTAGATTTTGTGTTTGTGTTTTAAAAGCATCTCCAAATATAAAGCTCAGCTATATAAAAGAGGTCAGCTTTGTTAAGCAGTTTGACATTTTTATTTCGTTGTGTCTTCTATGAGTAGTTTTCAGTTTTATTTTTCAATTCTAAACATAGAACAAAAACATCTTTTTTATCCATATGGGAAGTGAGAGGGAAGCAACCTGACATCCAAGGACTTGTTTGACACTCATAGCCAGGCTTTAAAGTCCCACTGCTGTGGGGTCCACCATCATCAGACATGGACATTGTGACACTGTCATGGATCAAGTTAAAAATAGGATCTTTACCACTTTTGAACAGAGACAAAACTCACAAGAAACCACATATCTTTTTACCCTGGATGATGAGAGTGATTGCTGCCTCTAACACTTACAGCTTTCACCTCGCTCTAGTTTGCCTTTCTTCTTGAATAAAGCTATTAAAAGCCTAATCATAAAGTTGACTACAGAGCAAAACTGTTTTCCCCAAAATCTTCCATTAAAGCCCCCAAATCCTCTGATGTTTCCAATATCCTCTGGTTGAGATGCTCCATACTTCTTGTGGTATAGATTCTCCTCTATGTACTGAGCGTTGGACCCAGCTGTTTCAGATACACGTCTATCTTTCTGCCCCTCAACTAGAGGGCATTGACTGAAGAAAATGAATACTTATGGTTTCTGCAAGCTTTTTGTTGTTGTTGTTGTTGTTGTTGTTGTTTTTTCCTTCAGTATCTTTATCAGGACATAGTAGATAACATTCAGCATTTTATGAAGATAAGGATACTTATTCAAGGTCACATATTAACATGAGTGTTTAGAACTAGGAGATAAACCTAGATTATTCTGGTTTAGAAGCCTTTGTGTTTTCTTCTGGCCTGACTGCCGTTCTTTCCCAAAAGGTATTAGAGAGACACCCATTACTCTTAGCAGATTGTGCCTTAAAATATTTAGAGCCTTTTCCTCCCCATGTTATTTATTTTTGAAACAAATGGAATTTTTATTGGGAGGTAAATGTAAATTTAGTTCTGAAAAGGATTAAATGATAGTACTTTAGATATTTTCTCCTGCACATTCTTCTTCCAAAAGGAGGTGGATTTGATGATACACTTCTGTAGGCCAAGGGAGGATGGGTGCTCACTGAAGACCAGCCTGGTTTAAATAGTAAAACTCTGTCCCAAACAACAGGAATGAGACAAGCAGAAGCACCCTACCCTAGAGCTGACACATTTCTGTAGGAGGAGACCCTGCCAGCCTCTCCTTTTCTGCCTAGATCACTGTTTCCATTTTAGATGCTGTTTCCTAAGGCTCTCAAACATATATATGTGTGTGTGTGTGTGTGTGTGTGTGTGTGTGTGTGTGTGTGTATATACACACAGGTGTATATGTATGTATGTATATGTAGCCAAGGCCTTGATTTTATAGCTTAGCACTTGTAGCTTTCTCTCCCCTCCCACAGACCAGTATTAAAATATATGCTACCATACTCAGCTTAATGTTGTGTATTTATTTTTTATTTCTTGGCAGTATTGGAGATCAGACATTCTACCATTGAGCCATACTCTCAGCCAAGCATCTTATTTGAGCTTTCAATTTGAGGAGAGATATTACCCTGGGCTCCAGCCACAGAAAGCAATTTGATGTTCCCTCAAAGCACCTCTTTATTCTCTTACGCCTTTCTATATTTTTTCACACAGGCTTTGAAGACCTTCTCCCAGTAAACTGTACTCTGCCTTAAGTTCTCCTCTTGGGTCTCCCAGGAGGTCTCTTGGGTTTTAGCCTTACTCCTGTTGATGGCGAGTGCCTCTTACTGGCATCCCATGTCTCTGCCTAGGACCTCAATGTGGCATTTTATAATTGTATGTTTATGTGTTGGATTTAGTGTCATTTCTCTTACTGCTCTTAAGAGTTTTAAAGGGAGGGACTCTTATTTTTGTGTGACTTGCCCTTTTTGTGATGTGCCCAAAGCTAGATACAAGATAAATACTTGATTTGTTCAGTTTGTGTAATGAATGTTAGGTAATTCTTTTTCAAAGGAGACAGCCCTTATGATCATGATGACGTGATTGCTGCACTGAATTTTAGGCGTACTTTGCTTAGAGTGTAGTGTCTATAAAGTCAGATGATGTTGCTAGATTATCCTAAGGATACCACAGTAAAGTGTGGCCCAGGGTGAACTTCCTACCTATTTCTGTGCCTCAGATTTCCTCCCCTATAAAATGGGTAATGATAGTCAGGTAACCAAATGCAGCTTAGAACACTGCTTGACTTTTCTGTATGTAGATCACAGTGTCCAGAAATCAAAAGAGAAGTTACTGTTTGGCACATGATAAAAGTTTGTTCCAAGCACTCAGGTGCTTTGTACTCGCCCAGTCCTTACTGGGGTTCTTTTTACTGTGGCTTGTTTTTTATTTCTTTGTCTATTTGTCACACTTGGGATCACACACAGGGCTTAGCACAGGTTGTAAGGCACATGCTTCACCTAGCCCAACTTTTGTATCTTTTTATGAATCAAAATAATATCATAGCAGCTGGAGAGATGGCTCAGAGGTTAGTAGCACTTTCTGTTCTTCCGAGGACCCTGGTTCAATTCCCAGCGTCCACATGTAGCTCACAATCAACTGTAGTTCCAGATCTAGGGAATCTGGTGTCCAGGCACTCACATGGTACACTGACATACATATAGGTAGAACACTCATACATATAATAATAAAAAGATAAATTTAAAATAATAAAGGAACCTAAATTATTCAGAATTTAAATTCTGAATGTTACTGAATTCAAATTATTACAAATATTACAGAAATTCAAACAAAAAAATAACAAAGAATTATTCATGGGCCTGCCCCTCTATGAAAATGTTATTCTTTATCTTGCTCCTTCCAGCCTTGGACCATATGCAGACTGACATATTTTGCTTAGTTTTACCAGAGAATGCACATCCAACTTTGTGTTCTATTTCTTTCTCTTACCATATTGTGTCAGCATAGTGTTATATCGTTAAGATGCCTTGGAGTACACTTATTTTAAGTCTCTACATAAGAGTCCATTGAATTGGTTATAAATTCTTTTATTTTCAAATGTAAGAAGGCTAGAATTCCTGCAATGGGTTGTTGATCAGAAAAGCCTCTTTCATGTGACAAGATCTCCCTCTGTTGGAACTTTGTTTGTGTTATGTACTGAAGATAATTGTTGGAGCATGCAAACTTCATATTTGTGACACAAGCAGGTTTCTCTGAGGTGGTGCTCACATTCTTAGGTGACAAGGAAAGGGATTCTGTAGACCAAGTTGCATCTGGACAAATGCTGAAATGATGTTGCCACATCTGTGTAATGACAGAGCCTGGGCTGTAGGGTAACTGAGTGTCTTGTCCTCCAGAACCTGTGGACAAAGTGGCTGCCCTGAGAGAATTCCGGGTCCTGCACACTGCCCTGCACAGCAGCTCCTCCTACAGGGAGGCGGTGAGTTCAAGCCAAGGCTGTAGGAGATGATGTGAATGTTGGTAGTTGTTTAGCTTGGGAGCTGACAGCACATTGCCATGGTAACCAAGACTTCCTCCGGGAGTTTTTGCCATATCTGTGGACCTCAGTAGACACTAATCTTTCCCCAAAGAGCCTGTCTCAGGCATTGGCTGTTGATGATAATTACACAACTTCTCCTCAGACTGGCCTTATGGACAGAATATGGTTACAGCTACAAAGTCTATACGCCTTTTGTGGTGGGACTTAATCTTTGACTTTTGGTGAACTGCTTATCACTTCTTATGGATTTCCTCAGTGGAGAAACCGGTTGTTGACAGGCAGAATTAATACAGCTGTAAACTCCTTTCCTAATGTATACAAGTGTCAAGTAGTCGTATGGAGATTGGAAAGGGCTTTGGGGACCTGCTGAAATTGTAATTAGGCTTGTGATGAAAACATTTGTTTTAGAAGTATTACAGATAGGGATGGTGTGTGGGGAGGGTGACCACAGAGATTGTGTTCCATTGTGGTAGTAAGCATACAAGCATTCAAAGGAAGAAGTCAAGAAGAGTGTGGGACTTGATGAATGTGCAGCATCAGTTAGAGTGCTAAGCCATCCTTGTTTCTCCTGCAGGTCTTTAAGATGCTCAGCAATAAAGAATCTTTGGATCAGATCATTGTGGCCACCCCAGGCCTCAGCAGTGACCCCATTGCTCTAGGTAAGTACAAGAAAGATTTGAAGAAATATGAGGTTTTGGAAAAGGAGAAACCAGGAGCAAAAGAGGGCTCCGACCATCTTATAGAAATACTGCTGTTGAGGATGAGGGGGAATAAACAAGGTTCATTCCACAAACCTAGCCCCTAAAGGCTCTCAGTCCTCCACTGTGGCAACTCTGTGTGGCCTAAATGCAGGGAAATGAGGGGAGCAGGGAGCATTGGCATTGGAATGAAATGCCCGAGACTATGTTTCTTCTTTTCAGGAGGGCTGGTTTGGGATCCTGTGTAGTTGATTGCTTTGAGACTTAATGCTGCTTCCTGGGTCTTTTCAAGAGTTCCAGTATCTAAGAGAAATCTTGGTCTCTTCTAGGGGTTCTCCAGGATAAGGACCTCTTCTCTGTCTTTGCTGATCCCAACATGCTGGATACGTAAGTAGAACCGTCATTTTATAAAGCATCATTCCTCAAGTGGCTACAAACCTGGTCATTGTCCTGGGATCGCTTCTTAGAAGCTAGTTCAGTCTATCACCAGGTCTGCTTTCTACATGTGTCAAGATGTAAGGCACAGCAAGGGCTGCTTAAGAAATAGGAAAGCCCAGGGGGAGGGCCATGTGAAGTGTGTCATGATGAAGCAATGTGGTGAGAGAGCTTTGTGTGCCAGGTGGATTTCATTTAGTAAATGTCAGGGACTGTAAGCTAGGGGAAGTAGGCACAGGTATTTAGGGCATAAAATGTTAGCTAGAAGGACAGTAGTGACTGTGTCCCCCTATTTCACAAGTGAAGAAGTTAACTGCTCTAGGAAGAGAGAGGAGTCATCAGAAGCTGCCCTTTGTATAAAAGGTGGTATCTGGACCCAGTTCTGAACCCTGAGTCTACCAGACTATATGTTTCCATATCCCATAATACCTTGCCTGTAGTTTTGCTTTTTTGTCTGTGTGATGGATTTTTTTGGATCTTAAAAACTGAGCCTTTCCAACCCTCCTAAGAGCAGGATGACAGAACTTGGCAAGAGACATTAAGGACTGGGCTAAATGTGGGGCACATACTTGTAATCCCAGAACTCAAGAGGCAGAGACAATTACAGTAATTCTGAGGCTAGCTTGGCCTAGAAAGCAAGTTCTAAGCCAGCCAGGGATTCACAGTGAGGCCCTCTCTCAAAGCCAAAACCCAAAATAAAACAAACTCTTGCTTGAAGGCTAAGGGGTTAAGGGCAGGCCTGGGGAGCTCTCTGTTAGTGGCCATCCATACTGTCATGCACAAGGGTGCTCTTTCCCCGCCATTCTCTGCTACCCCTCTTCCAGATTGGTGCCTGCTCACCCAGCCCTAGTCAATGCCATCATCCTGGTTCTGCACTCGGTAGCAGGCAGCACCCCAATGCCAGGAGCTGACTCCTCTTCCCGAAGCATGCCCTCCAGCTCGTACCGAGATATGCCAGGTGAGGCCCCTCAGGAGCTGGTCGTGGCCCAGGGATTTGCTTTACTCAGCAGCTATGTATAGTGTTGGCATAGGGCATGAGTCAGGAAGTGCATCTGTCCTGTAATTTTCCAAGGGGAGAAATGAAATATGAATTTGGAGCGTAAGTTGAGCTTAGATCTGGAGCTGCGCCTGTGCCTTTCTGTTCTTCCTCCTGGAGTCTGTTCATTCTTCTCCAGGTGGTTTCCTGTTTGACGGGCTCTCAGATGATGAGGACGACTTTCACCCAGTGAGTGACATGGCACCCTGCCCCTTGGGGGAGATGGTCCTGGGAACCAGCTTCTCCTTAGGGCCTGCTATTCCCAAGCCTGGGAAGTGGTCAAAGGGACCTTTGGGAGCCATATCATATTATTCTTTTTGAAAATTGGGACCTTAGGAAGTCTTCCTCCCAGAAAGGGGTGTATGGTCTTCCTCCCAGCTGGGGGTGTGGAATGTGGTTCTTTTGTCCTAATTCTGGATGACCTCTTTCTTTCCAGAGCACCCGGTCTACACCCTCTAGCAGTACACCCACTTCCCGCCCAGCCTCCCTGGGGTACAGTGGAGCTGCAGGGCCCCGCCCCATCACCCAGAGTGAGCTCGCCACTGCCCTGGCCCTAGCCAGTACTCCAGAGAGCAGTTCTCACACACCAACACCTGGCACTCAGGTATGGAGAGAAGGTTGGGAACATTAAGGCCAGGCTGCCAAGAGCAGAACTCCCTGAAGTAGATATGATTTCCCTTTGCTACCTGTGGTGCTAGAACTCTTTGTGCTAAACCCTGGGGCTCTGGTGAGGATTTCTCAGTTGTGATTCAGATGACTCCCCTTTTTACTTACTTGCCTATAAGGCTCAGAAGTCCACTTTAGCACAGGCCTAGCTGTTGCCTTTTATCTTCAATAGGACTAAATACGCTAGAGTAAGGTTCTTGCTGATGATTTGCTCCATCTCCAAAGCTACCTCTCCCAGTACTAGATTGGGCCTGGGATCTCAGAGTCCTTTTCCCTAGAGTAAAGGAGAATGGAACCTTTTATGCCCACATAGATTGCTTTTAGGTACCCTGTAAGACCGTGTAGTTGTCTTATAGCAGGCCCCTGTTGGGGGCAGGAGTTAGGTACCCCAAGAGGATTGTGGGGTCATGTAACAACACTGTCTGCTTCGAAACTGAGATGGCTCTGGGGCAACACTGATTATTTCTTTGAATCCAGGGCCATTCTTCCGGCACCTCGCCAATGTCCTCTGGTGTCCAGTCAGGGACACCTATCACCAATGATCTTTTTAGCCAAGCCCTCCAGCATGCCCTGCAGGCCTCTGGGCAGCCCAGCCTTCAGGTAAGTCTCCCCACTTTCAGGTTTTTGTTTAGTCTCCTAGTTTGGCATACTGAGCCTTTTTCTGCACACTGGAGATCCTTGCCTCTAGGAACACCTGGGACAAATGAATGGCAATGTGATGGGTGAGCCTTCTCAGAAAGGGCAAATTGTTCTTGTGGCTTGTTATTCTTGCCTGAGTGACTCCTGTGATCATGAGGAAGTTTTAGTTAATCACCTGTTCAGTGAGCATTGACTGAGCAGTGAGCACATGTATAGGGCCTGGGTTGAGCTGCTAGAGCTCAAAGTGAGCAGGTTCTTTGCCTCTGCCATGGAAGGACACTATGTAGGCATTTGGGAAGCATCTTGGTTAGAAGCTTAGCTGCTTGGGGTAAGGGCTTAGGTAAAGCAGAACCGAGAGAGGTTTAAGCTGACAGTTTGGTAAGCCGGTAAAGGGAAGGGTTTTGTGATGAGGTGGGGATAATTTCCAGGCAGAGGGAAGTACCTGATGGAAAAGATATGTATAGATGCATGTGATATTCTCAAAACTGTATGGTTAGAATGCAGTGTAATGGCCGAGAATATCCTTAGATGGGATCAGAGAAAGAGTGTAGAAGCCTAGGTGTCAGGGGCCTTGAATGCCAGTCCAAGGAGGTTAGATTTGATCTGGTAGTTAGTAGGATTTCTTGAGAAGCTTTGAGGAGAAAAAGGTCACCCTCGCAGCTAAGTGGAGAGTCAGTCTCAGCATGGTATCTTATACCTTCAAGTATGAGCTGTTTGCTTTATGCCTGACTCCCGTACTCAGTGAGTTTCTGGGGGAAGTATCATTCTGAAACTTGTTTGGGCCCCACAGCTGTGAAGAAGTATAAACAGGGCACAAGCGTGTGTGGTTTTCAGACAGCATGTGGTCCTCATGGGCAGTGCAGGTGAAGTGGCCAGCCTGTGTTTGCTGCAGTCTCATCTCCAGCCAGATGCCTGTTCACTGGGCTCAAAGCGCCAGGCTTTCACTGCCTCCTCCCAGTGTGCATCATTCTGCCTTCACAGCTTTACCCCTGCGTTTCCTCCCCACCACCACTATGAAAACATGTAAAGCTTTCAGTAAGCTGTGTATTTCCCTTCCATGAAGAGGTAGGCAGTGATGAGACTAGGAAGTACTAGAAGAAAAATGTGGGCAAATTTCTTTCAATCTTTACATTAGGGAAAGCTTCTCATGAATGAAATTTTAGAGTCTAGAAGCCATTATATACAGTCATTCTGTATTTTATCAAAGTGAAAATTTACTCCTGGAAAAACACAGCCGAAAAATAGCAAAGTCTTAAGGCTGATTGGTGTAACCCTGCCAGGCAAGTGGCACATCTTCCTGGAATAGAGGAATGTAAGACCCACCACTTCCTAAGAAAAGCGGGAAAGGGTATGAATAGACTGTTCTCTGAAAAGGAAGTATGGCTGTAATGCATACAGGATTCCTAGCAGTCCCATTTCTCAGAAATTGTCATAGAGATGTTTGTGTATATGGAAAATGGAAGTTTTATGGCACTGAAAGAGTCACAGTAGCATTATTTGTAAAGGCAGAAGATTGTAAACAGTCAACTGGGGACTAGAATATTACATGCTTACTAAAAAGTTTTTTGTAGTAAGACATAGTGATACACTATGATCTCGGCACTTACAGGGTTGAAGTAGGAATATTATGAGTTGTTGACTAGCTTGTGCGCTATAACAAAACTCTTAAAATTCTTTATGTATGTGCTGGCTAGTGTTTCTGTCAACCTGACACAAGCTAGAGTACTCTGAGAGGAGGGGACCTCAATTGAAGTTCCTTCCGTAAGATGGGGCTGTGGGCTAGCCTGTAGGGCATTTCTTAGTGATTGATGTGGGAGAACCCAGCCCATTCTAGGCTGCTCCACTCTTGGGCTGGTGGTCCTGGGTTCTGTGAGAAAGCATGCTGAGCAAGCCATAAGGGACAAGCCAGTAAGTAGCATATGGACTCTGCATCAGCCTCTGCCTCCAAGTTCCTGCCTTGCTTGAGTTCCTGCCCTGGTTTCCTCAGTGATGGACTTAAAAGCTGTAAGGTGAATAAACCCTTTTCTCCCTCAGTTACTTTTGGTCATGGTATTTTATCACAGCGATAGAAATCCTGACTAATATAGTATACCAGCTTAGAAAGATCACTTTCCACTATCTATCATGGTATACAAAACTAGGTGTGATGATTTATAATCTCAGGACTCAGAAGGTGGAAGCAGGGAGATTGGGAGTTCAAGGCCATCCAGGCCATTGACTATATAGTAAGTTTGAGGCCAGCGTACACTACATGAGATCCTCTATCCAATATTCAAAAAGAAAAAAGAAAAAAGAAAAAAAAAAAAAGAAAATTTTAAAACAAAACTAAAAAAGAAAACCTTAATTTATTTTTGTTGATTTTGTTCTTTGACAATTTCATACATGTTTTGTATATAATTTATTCTGATTACCCTCCTTTCACCCTCTTGACATCCCCCCCTCATCCCTATCAAATCCTGTCCAACACCACTACTAGTCTCTTTCCCAGATTCATGGCTTTTGGTTTTGTTTTGTGTCCCATTAGTTTGACCAGGCCTTCTGTATAAGCGTTGGATTGGAACCCTCCACTGGAGCCTGGGTGGGGTCGCCAGTGGGCACACAACTGAAGGCCGTGACTCCTCCTCCCCTTGCTATCAATAGTAAATAATTCAGCAGTGTGAGGGTTGCCTCCCAGGCCCTCCTCCACCTAGGCCTGACTATTGGTAGGCCCATTGTTTTGCTTTTGTTTTCATATTATTTAACTTATTATCATTAGCATGTGTGTGTGGTGGGTAGGTAATAAATTTTTGGAATTGAGACATTGAGTAACTGGTGCTTTTTATTTACTATAAAACTTCATTTGTTCCTTTTACCCTCAAGTATATCTTCAGTCTTCCTGAAGCCCCTCTGCTATGGCCCTGAGTATCAGTAGCTTTGGTGTGCTTCTCCTCTTTTCCTTTGTATCCTGAAAACACAACCTCTAAGTCTGTGACTGTTCATTGAGGGCCCAGCTAACACCTCTGCCTGCCCTGTCTTTCCACAGAGCCAGTGGCAGCCTCAGCTGCAGCAGTTGCGTGACATGGGCATCCAAGATGACGAGTTGAGCCTCCGGGCCCTTCAGGCCACCGGAGGAGATATCCAAGCAGCCCTGGAACTCATCTTTGCTGGAGGAGCCCCATGAACTTCTTGTATCCAAACAACCAGCAAGTTGAAGAGGCTTTATCTGGCAGGAGGCATTTGCTTCCCCTCACCCCTCCAATATATCTAATGGTTCATTCGACTGCTGTGTTCAGTGCTTGGCCTTCCTATTGATCTCAACTGGTGGGAGCAGCTGGGCAAGCAAAATGTATGGTTTTGGTGCTGTGACATCAGGGATCAGGTTACCTGGTTTAGGTCTTGGGTAGGGGGTTTGGGGCCAGTGTCATGGAGGTGCTCACTTTAGACAAGTCCCTAGCAACAGCTCCCATCTGTTTTGGTACTTTAGAGCTTGAGGCTGGAGGCAGCTACAACATTCTGCAGGGTAGCTGCCGAGTTACAAAGAAGGCCAGAAATGACTGTCACTCCTGAGGAAAGTCTAGGGAGTGACCAGGTGGATTTCTGGCTGTGGTGGGAGAGAAGATTAGTCAAATGATTCTATGTCCCTACACTGGCTGTGTCTCACCAGACATCCTTTGATATATGTTCTGTAATTCAGGACTCAAACTGTGCCAGAAAATGTGTCCCTTTTCTGTTGTACTAAAAGCACAAAGACAAGAGCAGTACAAATAGCTGTTGAAGAGCAGGCACTAGCCCCAAGCTGCTGCTCACCCTTCTGTGCTCTGGTGTCCTGCAGCCTCCTAGACAAGTCCAGGTTGACGAAGTGGGTTTCATGTGCTTTGAAACTTAGGGAAAAATGTCTTTACCTTCAGTAGTTCTTGGCCTGATTTGGAACTGACATGGGCTGGCAGGGGCTCAGAGGTCTGTCCCAGCCTTGGCAGACATTCCCTTCACACCATCTCCAGTCACGGCCATGGACAGAAAGTTTTCCATGAATGTATCTATAAACTTTTTTTTTTTTTTTTTTTTTTAACCTCAAGGAGGAACTGGGCTTACATGGAACTGGTTTGTCCTATTTTCTCCACCAATGGGATTTTAGTTATTTGGTGATTCCATGTGTCCCTTCAACCTACCCTCCTGATTTTGATCTTCAGCTCATCCTGTTCTGATTAGTGACAGTCTTACAGGGAGGTTCTCAGAAGAACACTTTATTCCAGGTATGCCCTAAGCAGCCCATTGTGCAACATTTTTGAAGTGCCCATGTTTCCTTCATGATCTGGGCTGATGCTGAGAAGTATTTTCACTGGCAGCAAAGACTCAGAACTCTCCAGGCTTTTGGGTGCCAGGCCTTTTGTGCCTCAGTGATCTGCCTGGAGTCCTGCCTTGTGGTTGGCAGTGAAGATCAGGAAGCTCTGTTTGAACCCAACATCTAAAGCCTGCATAGAGTTTCTCTCCATTCTGTGGCAACGTAGCCTGCCTGAAGCTCCTGAGCTTGCCCACCCCATTCTGCCACAGAACATTTGGGTGTCTGTTCCTTCTGGAATAACTGGTACCTTTTTCATAGCTTCCCAGAATTGAGCTGAACAGTTTCCCTTGTTTGTCAGGTCTTTCCTCCGTGGGCTTGGCACATTGGCTTTGCTTCCTGTGGTCATATTTGAAGTAGTACATGTTGGGCCTGATAAGTGCCCCCCTGAGCCCGGGGCTTTCCATGGCTGAGGGCTCCTTTGCTATTGTGCTTTTCACTCTATCAACAAACAGCCTCTGTGTCATGTAAACATGGTGGCTTCCTTGCTCATGATGAACTGTGCTATTGCTAAGATAGGCAGACCTCCACTAAACTCTGATGAAAGCTGGGCCAGACAAGGCCAAGGTTGGGTGAGCAACTTACAGGGAAGGAAGTTAGCTCACTTTACAGTATGTGTGTTAAGAGAAGCTGCCTGAGGAAAGTGGTATTGAAGCTGAATTGGAAGGGTAAGGAAGGATGGGCTGAGGGGCTAGGAGTGGAGAGGAGATGTCAACATGGATCTGTTGGTGTGGAGAGCAAGTCAGGAACCTTAGAAAGGCAGAATTTTACCTGGGGAAGCAGATTTGCATTTCAGAAAGGTTATTCGGGCTCCTGGTTGACAAATAGATTGGAGGTAGACAAGTTTGCGAGAGAGAGAAGAGTGGAAAGGTTGAGGCAGTGGGCTACTTTGATTGGGAGAGGTCTGTCTTGCCAGTAAAGGAAAGGTTGAAGGCTAGTTGATTCAAATAGACTCCAGTCTTTGAGAGAGTATACTGTTAGCATTGCCATTAAACAGATGGAGGCAACAAAGTACAGAGGGGAAATCCTGTCAACGATTTCATGGTTAGGAAGTGGACAACTAGAAACTGACTCCAAAGCTGTGCTTTTCCTGCAGCTGTGGCCTCTGAGATGGGACTAGGTGGTGAGGGTCCGCAGGCTGAGGGGCTCTGGTTTTCTCCTGAGGGCAGAACAAAGAGAGGCGCTCAGAAGAACACACTAATCCAAAGATGCCCCCAGCAGCCCATTGTTCTTCACCTACTCAGATTTTTAAGTTTCCACCTTTCCTTCATGACCTTGGGTTGATGTTGAGAAGTATTTGCACTGGCATCCTTCGTTGGCACTCAGAACTCTGGGTGCCAGGCCTTTGTGCCTCAGTGATCTGCCTGGAGCCCTGCCTTGTGGAGTGTCTTTATGCAGGACTGTGTGTGTATGTGTGTTGGGGGGGGGGTACCAGATTTGTATGTGAGATAATCTTGACAGCTGTGTGGAGGCTGGATTTGTGGGAAGTGAGACTGAGGATGGGTAACCAGTGAGAAGGCTTGTTATCTCCAGATGGGACATTGTAGGACCTGCAACCAAAGCTGCAGCAGGGAGCTCAGTGGAGGGGAGGGATGTGAGGTGTGAAGGGCAGACCAGATCTGGGGGGGGGGGGGAGAGGCAGGATGTGAGTAGGTAGATTTTGATGCTGCCAAGATAAGGAACTGGGGTTACATTTGGAATGCAAGACCAATTTGGACATGGCGGTGGTCCTTGGGCCGGGATAGTCATCAGGAAATTTAAATTCAAGATTGTGTTGGCATCCTATGAGGAGGTAAATCATCTCTCCAGGAAAATAGATACCAACTAAGGAGTTAGGCTTTATGGGAAATGATAAGTGGGAAATGTGGGAAGGAGAGCTACTTCTGGGAAGGAGAGACCAGGGGTCACCAAAGTGGAATAGAAGGAAGTGTGCAGAGGGCATAGTTCGTGGTGTCAGATGCCAGGCAAGCCTGGTCACAGAATGCCGACCTTGGACTTAACTTGTGCCATGGTGACCTTGGGTAGATGTTACAATGGAGCTAGAGCTGGGTTGCAAGAGCTGGCCTTGCATAAGTAGCAGGCAGTGGAGGCAAAGAGGTCAGGGATCTCAGGACAACCTTGCTAGTGAGGAAGAGGTGAATGAGTAATTGGAGAGGAGGTGGGATTGAGTGAGCATTTGCAGTTCAACAGAGGTGAAGTTGGAACTGATGAAGAGAACTTTTCTAGGAAGCTGAGGGGAAAAAAAGGAAGAGAGACCCCAAAAATAGAATATGCAAATATGCAGAGATGGGTGAGCTTTCTGAACAGATCTTTCTCCTGATATAACTCGAATTTGGCTGGGCTGACATGGGCTGGGCTGGCACAGCTTGCTGGGCACATGGGCCTGGGTTCTGCTCCTCGCTTCAGCCCCATCTGGCCTGGGCCCCAGACCAAGCTCTCAGATCTCTCCCCTGAGGTGGCTTCTTGTTTCCTCTGCCACAGGCCTTGGCAGTGACTGGTGAGGACGCTGGAGGAGTTCATTCACATGCCTCTCTGTTTGGCTCCCCTGGCTCTCCCAGTTTCAGCCTTCTCAGGCTCTGCGCCATGTTCATGGCAGCTTAGTTGCACTCTTGGTTCCTGTGGACTTAGCTACGTCTTGGTCCCATATACTCCGCAGTTGCTGGTAACAGAATTCAGCCTTCTCCAGGCCAGAAGTGCCTTTCACAACGACCGAGGCACTGACTGTCTGTCTCAGCAAAGCTATGTCCCAGGTGCCATTCAATAGTGCTCATTTATCAGGTACTCTGCTGGGGATTGAGTGGGGGCTCACCGTGCCATCTCAGTGCATTCGCGTAATAACCTTGAAAAGCAGGTTTTTATTACCCTGTGCTCATGAGTGCTGCTGTCTGTTGGGAAACCAGCTTTCCCAGGGCTTGGGTGAAAGTGTATTTGATGTAATCCCATCACTGCACTCACGCAGGCCTTGCACCTGTCCCATAGTCTGGAGAGCCTGGTCTGAAGAGTTTATTAAACACTCATCCTGAAAGCAGCAGTGTAGGTGTGGGAGGGAAACAGGTTTCTAAGTCAGCTCCACTAAGGGTTAGGTCACTTCTGCACACATGGCCTGTGTTTTGGGAGCCTCAGTTGTGTCCCGCTTAACACTTTATTCTAGGGCCAGAGATACTAGGTACCTTAGAGCTGGGTTGGGGAATATTCAAGAAGTCGGAATCCTACCACAGGGAAAGTCTAAGGTGCAGGGCTAGAATAATCCCTTCAGTGAGGACCAAAAATAAAAAGTGCTAAGGAGCTGGAGAGATGGCTCAATGGTTAAGAGCACTGGCTGCTTTTGCAGAGGATGTGGGTTTGGTTCCTAGGTTCCACAACAAATTATAACTGTTTGAAACTCTAGTTCCGCAGGACCTAATACCTTCTGGGCTCTGCAGGCACACACACAGTGTACCTACATGTGTTCAGACAACACGCTCATACATATAAAAACACATTGTACAAAAGGAAGTGTAAGATATGTTCTCATTTCTTCTCCTTGTGGGCCCCAATTTAATCCCAGAGAGACTATGTTAATGGTTAGAAATTGGGTCATAATGACCTCTGAGTAAGAATGATAGGCTCCAGATACATCGTATCTCAACCTTATAACACTGAGTCTCCAGTGGTGCTTACAACAGGAGCAGGGGAGACAGTCTTCAGCCTCTAGCATCAATGTTCTGTTCTACATACAGCATGGTCTTTAAGAGAGATGGACACAGACTAGACTGCTTAGCACCTACAAGAGGCTTAGTAGAAGTTTGTTAAAAAACTGACCAACCGTGTCCTGAGAATCAATTACTAGACTCCAGGGGAAGCCTCATGAAAAGCCTTTTGGGATTGGGGTTATTTACCCTGACTTAAAAAAAAGCAAATTTGGGGTTGATGAGATAGTTCAGTGGTTACATATGAAGTAT